CCCACTCCTCGGGAGCCGGAGAGACTCGCCGAGGGAGCAGCCCGAGAAAGAGGCGGCGACGAGGAGCGGTCACGGCGCAACCTCTTCCCGTCACTGGGAGAGGGTGGGCGAAGGCTCGCAGGGCCCTGGGAGCCCCGGTCGCCACTGCTGCCGCCATGAATCCTGCACACGCCTTAGGACCGGCCCGAGAAAGCAAGCCGGCCGGCCGGAGGTAAGGAATATGCCTGCTTGTCCTTCCTGCCCGAGAAAGAGGCGGCGACGAGGAGCGGTCACGGCGCAACCTCTTCCCGTCACTGGGAGAGGGTGGGCGAAGGCTCGCAGGGCCCTGGGAGCCCCGGTCGCCACTGCTGCCGCCATGAATCCTGCACACGCCTTAGGACCGGCCCGAGAAAGCAAGCCGGCCGGCCGGAGGTAAGGAATATGCCTGCTTGTCCTTCCTGCCCGGGTAGCGCGCACCGGAGAGAAAGGGCGCGCGGGGGAATCCGGAGAGGGAGGAAAGCGGGAGGCAGACGCCTTTTGGCCGCCGCGGGCGACGCTCTCTCCGGCTCTTTGGAGAAGCAGCGAGCTCCCTTCCTTTGGAGGGGAAAAGGAAGGCAGGCAGCTTCTCGCTCTCTTTGGCGCCCTTGAGAGGATCCCCCCCTCGCAGCCTGCGAGGAGGTCGGGGCGCCTCGTTCCCATTGGCGCTTCCTTGAGGTCCTCCCCCTTCTGCTGGTGATGGTGATTATGATGATGGAGGACGGAGAGAAACGCGTTTTAGGGTCTCCCCACTCGCCCTTGAGAAGGTTTGCTGTGTAGCCCGAGGCTGAAAGGGAACCAGGGTCTCCCTTCTCCCCGCTGCTTCCCTGTATCCAGTTGAGGCGAAAAGATGGGGGGGTTGTTAATGTCCTCTCCTGCCCTGATTGAAGATGGACACCGGTCCTAAAGGGTTTCACTTCGAATCGAATTGGGAGTGGGGGACACGTCACCCCATTAGTGCCCTTGAGAATCCAGTCCTTGTAGGCGCTAGTGCTGTTTTTGAAAGCCCCCCCCCCCCAAGGTTCGGGCTTCAGAAGCACGCCGCCGGTATTCCTTAAGAGAAGCCCCGAATTGGAAGGTGGGAGTTAGAAGGACGGATATGCGTTTCTCGGAAGTACTTTGATGTATCGTTATCAGGGGCGGATCTACTATGAAACTAATGAAGCTTAAGCTTCAGGGCCCCTGACTCTCGGGGGACCCCGGAGGCGACTTTCGTCCACGTTACAAAAAAAGTGATATGTCGTGGAACAGATTGAAGATAACATTGGGTTACCCCAGACCTCGTTGCTGGTTGTAAAGGGCTTCTCATAACAATTAGTGCTCCGGGGGGCCCCCGGAATTGCAGGTCCGCTACTATATCGTCTATATATTTACCATTGTATAGGATCAAAGATGAATTGAGCCCTTGGTCCAGAGAAAGTCCGTTTTGCGTTTGAATGCATTCGCCCCTTTTTAATGCTGTCGAGGTGACCGGGGTACTTGTGGAGGCGCTAGTCGCCTCTTCCCAGACAGCCCTAGGTGAAAAGTGGACATTGGAGTGGCACACCTTGAATCAAGGGTGCCCCCCCTCTTGCTGTCTTGGCGAAGAAATGCCCCTCTCCTTGACCTGTTCCCAGGAAGATTATCCTCCCTCCCCCACTTTGAAAACTACGGCTTGGCCGTTCCTCCTCCTCCTCCTCCCAAGGGCGCTTCTTTGCTCCAGTGCCCTCAAATGGGGGGAAGAGATGCGAAAGAGAAGCAAATGGCGAACTCTTGTCGGTGTGTTTTCTCCCTTTGAGTGGGGGAGCCGGCGAAGCTTCCCCTTTTCGTAGCTGCCTTTGCAGGCTTCTCGGTGCCTTTTTCAGGAAGGCAGAGGCTGCCTTGTGTAGCGGGGAAAGAGAAAGAAAGAGAACCAGAGCGCCCTCCCCCTCTTTATTCCCCCTGTTCCCGAAATAGGCTGCCGGGCGGAGAGGAAGGCTGGCTAGCGTGACTGTGGCGCTGAGGCGACTGACTTCCCCCCCGCCTCCTGCTTTTCTCCCAGTCGCGGGCTTCGGGACCCCCCAACAGGTGCGGGAGTCTCCGTCGCGCTGGCGGGGTTGGAGGGGCGGGCTGGCCGGCACTCTCTCGGGGCGGCCCAGCGGGCTCGCCTCCCTCCCTCCCTCGCCCACCTTACAGAAGGGCGTGAGGGGAAGGGCGCACACCCGCGGAGCCGGAAAAGGGCCGCGGGGGGGGATAGAGCCTGGCGGCCGAGTTCAGCCCCTCTTTTCCTGGGGGCCGAAGCGAAGGAGAGGGCGCGATAGGCCCTGAAAGCTGGGATTGGAGGCGGCGGCGAGTGGTTTTCGTCGCAGCCCCGGGGATATAAATCCTCGTGACGGCGCCTTCGCTCGTAGCCCTGGAATGCGCGGCGGCGGCTTCTCTTCCCATTCAGTCGCTTCACCTCGCCGCGGGTCTTTCTTCCCTCAGGGAGCTGCTGAGGGAATAGGGAGCGGGCGCTGAGTGCTCCCAGCCCGTTACGTTGGAGTCAGGCCAGCCACCTCCGTGTCCATGAGCCCGCCGCCTTCCCGTCAGAGGAGCTGCCGCCCCCGCCGCCGCCGCCGCCTTCACCTGCAGCCACACACCGGGGCGCACGCTTCTCCTGTTGCCGCCCCCGGCGGGTTCAGGTCCCTCGGCCCCCCTGCGTCCTTTCCTCTGCGTAGCAGAAGGTGAGTGATCCAGTGAGCCTTAGCCTTCTGAGCTAAGCTTTCTGAGTTGTCAGCAGCCCTATCTATCTATCTATCTATCTATCTATCTATCTATCTATCTATCTATCTATCTATCTATCTATCTATCTATCTATCTATCTATCTATCTATCTATCTATCTATCTATCTATCTATCTATCTAATCTGATTTATATAGGGCCCCATTCGTGCAATGCTCCTGGTGACTTTTCCTTCCACAGGCTTTTCATATTTGATATCCCTTTTCCCATCATCTCTTATAGAGCAATTAGATATGTAGAATACATGTTTACTGAAAAACAAGTGACGCTGAGCTCAGTGTGACTTCCTTCCAAGTATGTGTGGCACAGTAGTCTTTCTCTTTTGCTTTACATTCGCTGCCAAGAAATGTAAATGTACCACATTTCTTCCCCTCCCTCATTTATCCCTACTTTTCTTGCTGCTGATTATTACCTAATATATTTTATTTCAATCTTTACCCCTTATTATTTGAAGGTTAGACAGACAGTTTCAGTTATTCTGATGCTTAGTTTTCCATCACCTTTTGTCATAAGCACAGTTCTGTCAGTACAACTGGCTCCCATTATTTACTGAAGAAAAGTTAAACATCTATCTGCATTTAGTGTGTAAGCTAAAATACTCTTCCTCAAACATCTTTCAATGTACTGTAATTACGTTCATTTGTCTTCTTATAACACAAAAGGTTATTTTATTTGCATGCCTGCAGTGACCTTACAAGAATGAATGATGATTTATTCAGGATATTGTTAACAGAATATAATTAAAGTATGTTTTTTTGTGATAATGAGGGAGGATTTTATGAGGTTCTTTCTAGCCCTCATAAATACATACTACCATTTAGTTAATACCTATGTTTGTTGTGTATAGTTTTTAGAAGATTAGCACTTACACAATCTGTATAGCAGATCCAGACCTTCTACAACTCATCTATGTTGTACAGTATCTGGATTGAAAAGATATATGATTTCATGGAGGGATATACATGAAAGGAGGCCATATAGATAGAAATTGTAAGCTAAAATGACCCAACAGTTGCTAAGTGTGGAGTTGTTTATTTGAGGTATTTGTCAACAGCTATTAAAATAAGAAGTTGTGTTCTATGTGTTGAATAATGTTTCTCTTTCTTATTCCGTAGGAAAAGACAACAGACTGCAGTGTGAAGAGAATGGCTGTGACCATAGAACAGGCCCAAAGGGCGGGCTATATATTTCTGAAAGCACTCTTAAGATTTGGCTTTATGGTTGCTAATAACCTTGTTGCTATTCCGTCCTACGTTCTATATTTAATAGTACTGCAACCTCTCCGATTGTTGGATAGTAAAAGATTCTGGTATATTGAAGGAGTATTATTTAAATGGCTTCTGGCGATGGTAGCATCCTGGGGCTGGTGGGCAGGATATACAGGTAAGAACAATTTACAATTTCTTATCAAACATACATTTGTGAAAGAATAAAGCTGTATGTTGAAAATTCAAAGTTAGAGAATACCATTATTATTAGGTAAATTACACAAAATGTACAAGCTTTCCAGTTCTCCAGAACAGTCTGTCGAAACATCGATATGAGACATGTCACTTGTGTTTGTGACACAACACAACTATCTAAGCCCACATATCTGCTCATGTATTTGAACATTATTTAAAATAACTCTGAAAACATTTCAGAGCAGTCAACACAATCAGCTCCAAAGAACAAGCTTTCAAAATAATGAAAAATATGGAAAAAAAGATAGCCAATACTGTATATTTTAAATATCGAACGTAGGAATTTACATTTGTGTAGCACTCCAGTTGCAAAAGCTGCCATGTCAATCTGAAATCAGAGAATCGGAGGAATTGGTCAGGTTCCCTTCACATCTATACTGTCTCTAAGTTCAGTGATTTGCTTTTCTCTGTGAGATTAAATTGTATTCTATACATACAGAGGAAAAAAAAGGATGTGCCTGCTGTTTGATATTTTTAGTCTCTGTTAGTAGAGCTAGGACCCTGTTCAGATCAAACAGTTTGTACATCAATTATAGTGCAAGCGGTTTGGCAATTACAGAATGTACACAAAGAAATATCCAGAACCTCCTTATATGAATGGAACTTGGCTGTTCAGAATGGGAATCACTGCTTGTGCAAGGGCATCTTTCGTGTAAGAAGAAAAACCCATGTTACTGGCTGGCCGGATTTTATGATATGCTGGCACTGAACAGGATACCAGACCGGCTTGTGTTCTGAGTTGCAGCCAACTGTTTGTTTGTTTGCAGTTAACTCTGGTAGAATATGGGATCCAGTTCTTTGGTGTGTGTTATAGTGAATGCCTATGAGCTTTGGCAGATGCAGATATATTTTCTGAATAGCAGTATATGAATTTCTGCAGATCTTCCATTCCAGATTTCAGATACTGACTAAAAGTCCCTTCAGACACTGGATGAAATCCTGTCTGCAGAAGGATAGTAATGCAACTGGCAGGGGATGTTTTCCCTTCTCTATTATGGCTTATCTGACTTGTGAGTAATGGTCCCCACATGGAAGCAGTGGGAGTCATGGGGACAGAAGAAGGAAATATTTAATTACCAAAAGTCTATTGCTGGTAATGTTGTCTGACTGTGTCAATTTTTGGTAATTTGAGACGTCCTCCTTTTGTCCTACATAAAAATTTGAAGATATACTAGTCAATGTTGACAGTTAGCAGTTACCTGTGTATATCTGTAAAATGGGAACGTATTTTCTCAACGTAGTTCATAAATGCATCAGTTGCATAGTTGCTAATTGAAATGTAACCATGGCAAGTATATAAATACCTTTATGGAGCAGCTCACTTCTATTTGTACTGGTTTCAGCACGCTGTTGCAACAGGCTTGATTCAAAAACTGCAGTTCCTTGTAACTTATTTTGTTCTTGGGCAGTGAATAAGGTTTGTTTAGAGGCATATACTTAAGAGCAAGACTTTCCTTACAGCTCCTTTGTATGCTGAAATATTCATTGTTTTTATGATGAAGACTTGTTTTTCCTAGTCCTGGTTTCTTCTTAATAGTAGTAGTTTGTTGAATTGTTCATTTTCCAAGCTGCGGATTTGTATGGATGCTAAAGTTCCCATCTTAGGTGTTTTGGGGGTGGAAGGTATATGTGAGGAGGAGGTAACATAGGAGGTTACTATACATGTCAGAAGTTTATATAAACCTAAACGGTTTAGGGCCTCGATACTTGGCGGAACGCCTACACCCACCAAGATCTACTCGTGTCACTCGTGCGAGCCTGGAGGTGAGGCTGAGGAGCCTAACGCCGAGGGAGGCCCGCAAGGAAAAGACAAGAAATCGGGCCTTCTCGGCGGTGGCTCCTCGCCTCTGGAATAACCTACCCCCTGGCATTCGTGCAGCTCCCTCGCTGGGTATTTTTAAAAATCAACTAAAAACATTGATGTTTCGGCAGGCCTTCCCTTCAGCCAACTCCTGATCCTCCCTTTCTTTCCTTGCCCTAGTGTTTGTCCCATCTTGCTGTAAGTTTCTCCCTTATGTAAATTGTTTTGTTTATGATAATCGTTGTATTTCTTGTTGTAAGCCGCCTAGAGTGGTCTTAACCAACTAGATAGGCGGGATATAAAATAAATAAATAAATAAGAATCTGGAATGAGAGAGAGTCAGTGCTTGGGTCTGGAAAAGGTACTTTGTAGAATGTGGTGTGATGGTATTCTGCATCAAACCATGTTTATCTATACCAGGGGTCTCCAAACTTTTCAGTATGAGGGCCACATCATATATTTTACACATTTTTGAGGGCTAGAGAGGGGGAAGACAGTTTTATAATGAACGAATAAGTTTTATTTGGGTCAACAAGCTTTTACTTGTATACTACAATATTAATGGGAATGATAGAACTGCTTGCTTACTTTCAAAATATTGCTAAACTGAGGTTTCAAGCTTGAGGAGCCAATTATTAGAATGGATTGAAGATGCTCATCAGATAAACTTGCTTGATAGTTGGACTTGACATACTTCAATGGATTTGTGCTGACCAAAACATTCCTAACGGAAGAAATGGCCAGAGGTAGTGGTAGTCTGCTCTAGCAAAAACAATTCAGGTTCCTGTAGTATCTACCTTTGAGCCTAGTCATTTTTATCTGGCATAAACTTTCCTCAGCTGTGGCACATGCACAGAACATAGTCTCGGGAGTGGGACATTTATACCCAGGCGGATGTGGGAAAGGAGTGTGAAAAGTACAGGAACAGAAAGACAAAAATGTCCTGCATGATCTGAAGGGTGGTCATTACAGGGTCAACGACATTCATAATGTCTGCTAGAGTGCAAGAAAAACAATAGGTTTAAGAAGACAGGCATGATTGATGAGTCAGAATGGGGACATTGTAGACAGCAGTTGGGCTCATTAAACATTTACCTTGCAAAAAGAAATCACTAGAAAGGAAAGCCTACAAATTAATAGAGGAAAAGCAAACAGGTCGCTGAATGGCCATGGAGCAGCTAACGCACTGCATGGAGGGTAGTTAACCCTCAGTGCACATGTATGCCGCACATCCTGCAACTACTGGGAGCCTGGTTTTGTTGCTGTTTTTGCTGATTGGCGTGTGATGCCTCTCACCCTCCTTTCTCCCATTGCCATGTCTTTGCAAGCACTTAATGTGACACATCTGCTCACCATTGCCGTGCCTTCCCAGTGACTTGACATCCTGCCTACCTGGTGCTCAAGCCCTCTAATTTCCCTCCTCAGCTTCTGATTGGAAGCCACTCTCCTGGTTGGCCATTGGCTGCGACCTGATGATAATCATAAGGTGCCATGGGGGTTGCTGGTGCGAGGAGCCGCCACCACTGCCTGGAGTCACCTGCTCCCCTTCTCCTCCCGCCGGTCGACCGCTCACTGGCGGAGCTGCCAAGCCAGTGCCCCCCAAGCAGTTGGGGAAAGAGGGCAGGCTGCCAGTGCATGCAGCGACTTTCTCTGGGGCAAGAGGGGGAGTAGGGTTTGCCACTTCTGCCCAGAAGGAGACAGAGAAAGGCTGTGGGATGGAGCAGATGTGCACTGATTCTGGGAGCAAGGGAGGGTGTGGTGGGAATGACCATCACCCTGAAGGAGGGGAAAGAAGGGCCAGTACAGGGCCCAGGAGGGGCTTCGAAACCCGTCAGGCCCCCGGGGCCGTGGAGCAAATGACTGGGAAGGGCCAATGGTGGCATCCTTCGCTTCCCTGTCTGCTCTGACCTGCCTCGGTACCCATCTGAGGGGTGGCCCCTCTTGAGCTGTGACACTTCCCACTCCCACTGCAGATTTGATGGTTATGCCTGGGGAAGGCCGGGAGCTTCGTTGTTTTCCCTCAGCAGATAGGCTGAAACACACACAGAGAGACTGTTAGAGCAGGGGACAAGTGTGAAAACAATCCTGTTGCCAGGCTCTGTTAAGGAAGGCAGGGAGGTGGGGGTATGGTGGGAAAGGTCCTAGAATCTGGACCAGGCTGGATAAAAAGGCAAGGCGGGCCGGATGTGGCCCGTAGGCTGTAGTTTGGAGACCCCTGATCTGTAGATCTAACACATGATACAGGCATGCATTGGTGAAACTAAAAGAAAGAGCCATGCTGGTCCTTGAGGAGAAGGGAAATCCCAGATTCACAACTGGGGAGTATCCTTATTAAGACCAACCAAAAGATTGTATAAGATACCGTGTCCAAGGGGTATTGGAGAGGATGGGAGTAGAGACAGATAAAAAATTCCAAAATTAGGCCACATGTTGTAGCTACATGGTTTCAAGACGAGATTGCATACTGAATGCATTAGTGACTGGTAGGTATGGCAGGTATCAGATTATACCTGGCATTGTGGAACAGAGAAATGATGAGTGAGTCAGATTAATGATAATGGGAAGGTCAGTTTTATTTCAGATTTGTATGTTGCTGCTACTTAAACATACTGGTTCTTGGGTAAGCAGAGGGCAAAAATTAAAGAGAAACACAATCATACGTCTGTATTAGCAAAGCTGTATATTAATGTCAGGTGGTGTGCTATAAGTTCAAGATGGAATGAAACCACAGCGCATAGTTTTACATAACAGGTGGAGATCATGGAACCTTCTTTGGGTGGCAGAGAAATATCCCTGTGGTGGTAGAATCGGCCCTAAATGGTTCCCCTTGAGCTGGGGAAAACTGCTAAAAATAATAAGATTCTACAGAAGCATTCCCCTCCATGGCTGTAAAAGACTTCATCGTCGTCATTTAGTCATGTCCGACTCTTCGCGACCCCATGGACCAGAGCACGCCAGGCCCTCCTATCTTCCACTGCTTCCCGTAGTTGTGTCAATTTCATGTTGGTAGGTTCAATGACACTGTCCAGCCATCTCCTCCTCTGTCGTCCCCTTCTCCTCTTGCCGTCACACTTTCCCAACATCAAGGTCTTTTCCAAGGAGTCCTCTTCTCATCAGAT